CCAATTCAACTTCTCCGATTAATGGTGTCGTATGATTTACTGATAAAAAGCAGATCACGTTTTTGGTTTAAAAAAAAAAAAAAAAGCCCTGTGGGTCACAAGGATTCTGTCACAAACTTTCTATTTTTCCTTGGCGTGTCACCAATTAGACCTACTTCTGTAGTCCAGAGAGCAAAAAGTTATTAATGCCCCAATTCAACTTCTCCGATTAATGGTGTCGTATGATTTGCTGATAAAAAGCAGATCACGTTTTTGGTTTAAAAAAAAAAAAAAAAGCCCTGTGGGTCACAAGGATTCTGTCACAAACTTTCTATTTTTCCTTGGCGTGTCACCAATTAGACCTACTTCTGTAGTCTGCTCCCACCAGTATAAAAAAAAAAAAAGCATAATGGGTTTATAATTTGCCACCGAATCCCATAGCAACTGTACGTCACTTTAGATGTAAATTACAGACAATTCTTTCCCATGCAATTTGAAAACTATAGAGATGAATCTATAATTTGAGCAGATCCAAATGGTATACGGTTGAGAGAAAAAAAAAAGCTACCCTAAATAATTGAAAGGAAACTGCCAGGGGCCAAAAAACCCCTGTTCCTCGTTCCTCGTGCCCGACATTAAGCATCTTTGTCCCCTTCCTTCGACTGGGAGGTGCCACATTGGGGTCAAAGTGAAGAAGCTTCAGGAGGAGCTGAGCAGTTCTGCGTATCCTGTCCCATTTCTGCTGATTGTGAGGAGGAGATGTACGTGTACCACGAGCTTCCTCTCCAGCCAGGCTCCTCTGATTCATTTAGTCATGTCACCGACTCATGTTCCCGATGTCGTAAGAGCTTCAATTTTGACGGGCTCCAGCATCAGTGAATTAACAGGGCAGGAAAAAACAGGTTACAGGAAAGGAGGAATGATGCAAAAAGCTTTAGGATAATTCAATGAGTTTTGATTCGAAAGCCGGATTTGTTCTTCTCCTCCTGACACCTGCAAGCAGCTTTCAATTCCCGAGTCAGCATGAATACGCATTACCCTAAAGACCCTGTAATGACAGCAGGAGCCTTCATTTTGTATTTCGTGCTTTAAACGCAGCAAGATGAAGGCACCTCTAACAACCTGCTCTAAAAAAGCAGAGTCTGGAAAAGTTCTTTCGACGAAGGGTGGGTTTAACCCCAAATCTTTGGGAAATAACTTGTGTCCCGGGGAAGGCGACTTGGGAAACCCCCATCCGTGGCCGGCAGAGCCCGGGGGCAACGTGCTTTGGTTATCTCAGCTTAGCCCCCAATAAATATTTGTGCACCTGCCAAAGTTCACCAGTGGATCAACCGGTGGCTTCAGTTCAAAAATATTCCACGTAACAGGGTCAGAGGGGGCCGAGGGGAGCAGGAGACACCCCTTGGAGCATCCAGCATCAGGCACCCACCCAAGCAGGGATGCTCTGACCACCTTCTTGGCGTCCTCCTAAAACCAGGAGGCTCCTCTGCATCCCTGGAGGGGTTCAAGGGCAGGTTGGAGGGGGCTTGGAGCAACCTGGGTTGGTGGGAGGTGTCCCTGCCCAGGGCAGGGGGTGGGACCCGATGGGTTTTAAGGTCCCTTCCAACCCGAACCATTCGATGACTCCACACAAGCCCAGTGGAGCCTGGTCCCCATCACCTAAGGTTGGGCCAACACAAAAGCTACAAACAATAAGAGAAAGGTGAGCAACCACAGCCACGCCGCTCGTTATCAGGCGGCCATCCGTCACGTAGGCTCACCAGCACCGCTCCTCAAGCCACGAGGAGAGTTTTTAAATACATGAAATTCGGGAAATTCCCAGGTGAGGAGCTCCAGGAAGAGCCCTCGCACTGTTTACGCGCCATCGGCACCTACACCAGTGGCACGAGGAGATGGCCCTCCTGCCAAGTGACACCCGGGTCTGCCACGAGGCATTTGACATCCTGCATTGAGGCTTCCACCTGCCCAGAAACCCCCTGTGATGTTGCTATTAAAAAAAATAAAATGGGTGTGAAAAGCAAAGGATGGTGACATATGCAGGTGTATTAGGTGAGGATGATGCCCATCAAATGTGGAGGAGAGGGCCCAGGATAGAGGATGAGAGAGGAAAACAAGGCAGGGGGATGAGGAGGTCCCTTGTATCTCCACTAGGCACAAGAAAGCTGGAGGCAAACCAGAAGAAATGGGGAAAAGTCATGATCTGCTTTTCTTTGAGGGGTGGGAAGGCGTAAACAGAGCCCGTACACACCCCCAGAGGCAAGGCAGAAACCAGCAAAATACAGAATTTGGCTGCTTGGAGAACCAAGAGCTGTTTTGGGCTAATGCACCCGAGAGGCTCCGTTTCATTGGTGGACAGATTGACCTGGGACACCCCGCAGTTGGTGCTCAGGGCTTCACAACGGTGTGGAAGCAGCTTTGGGGACAGGGACTTTCACAAGGAGCACACGAGCAACATCTTGAAGTGTCCCCTACGAAGCCAGTGTTCATTATTAAGACTCCTTTTTCTTTCAGGTGAGAGGAAACCACTTGCTACAGGAGAAAGAAACCCTTGTAAGGGCCATGAGAGCCAACAGCCCCATGACCTGGACCTCTCCAGGAGCAGCTCCACGTTCTCCATACACGGTACAGAAACAACTTGTCGAAACACAAAGTTGGGCATCACTATCTGGCCATTTTCTTCACCAGGACACGGACAATTGAGCTGAGACCCAAGCGAGAGGGAGTCAAGAAGACAAAATACCTCTTTCTCCCTAGTCCTGCTGCCTGATCCACACATGGTGCAGCTCCACACCAAGAAGGCAACTGCTCTGGCACAAGGGACACTAAAAGCACATGGCAGCTCGCCCGGCCGGGTGATCGTTTTTGGATTATGTAATCCCAATACATTATTATTAGACCAAGAACACACTCAAGCAAGCGGCCGAAGACATTACCCTGCCTGTTCTGGCAGAGAGAAACAGAGTCCTGTCGCAGAAATGGCACCGCCGTGCGATCCCCCCGGCGCATAAAACAGGTCAGACTCGCACACACGTCGGACTCCAGGTAACACAAACAAGAGTATTGGATTCCAGGCCATTATACCTATTACACAACCCCGGCCCTCGCTTTATACCACATTTAAAAACCAAACCGAGCTGAAGGGAGCCTGAGCGAATTTTTTCCATTTACCTACTGCCCAGCAAAAATTAAATCAGAGCCCCAGACTGGACAAACACAGGCTCCAAAGGTGTGTTAGAAAGTCCCTTCTTGGCCTGGCCGTGGCCGAGCGTTTCAGAGGAAGCAGCGACGTTCAACGCGCCGGAGAAACTGTTTATAGAACAAATGCAGAATGAGCATATGTGTTTAATAGCCCACTAATTGTTGCGTTATTCACTGTACAAACAAGCGAGCTCTTCTGCCCTTATCCCTTCCTGCCCATTTAATCACCAGTAGCCTTTGACTATTTCTCTTTTGGGTGGCGGTGAAGGAAGCAAAGTTCATTAGTGGCCGGTGGCCACCAAACAATCCAGAGACCAGACTTCATTTAGAAAATAAACACCACTATTCATGTGTGACACGGACTCGGAATAGCTTCCCAAAATATTTAACGCAGCTGCCTGTAGTCTTCCTACTCTCCCTCCCCCAAAAAGAAAAGCCTTTCCTAATATATAGGAAAGCATTTCTTTGGATTTTCTTTTCTTTTCTTTTTTTCCAGGGAAAATATACCTAATAACTCATTCTATCCAAGGCACTTATTGCTACTGACTTCTCATAATGCTGATAAACACTCATTAAAATATAAGTTGATAAACCCTGGTACAGTAATTACCTTCGTCCTCATCCAGAGATTGCCCAATTCAGTGATGTGATGTAACCAACACCCTAAATTAAAAATAGTGTTGTGACAACATATGGTTTATCCTACAGAAGCTGGCGGGCAGGACGCTCCTAATGACAAACGGGTTGGGTTCCCAGTTCCCCCAGCTCCCCCAGCGAGGAGAGGGGACCCACAGGCTCTGGGCAGGATCAGGGGTGGAAAAATAAATAAATTTTAAAAAAATAATAAGAAAAAGGAATTACGATAAAAAGGACAGCTTTTAATCCCTCTCCGGTCCATCCTAACGACAGATGCCGAGGAACTGCCATTATTCTTTATTTACGTGACTAATGAGCTCTCTGGATGCATTTCAAGGAAACAGCTCGGAAAAGACAACCAGCCTGGCAAACCCCACGCTCTGCTGCCTGCTGTGAGTCACCGTGATTACCGTCAGCAGAGCCCCGCCGTAGCCCCTTTTGTCTAATCTTTCCTATGGTCTTGTGATGATCATTTTCTGTGCTTCACAGCTTTTATTGCTGCAGCCTTATTAGCCCTTTTTTTCAGTGGCGTAAAGGATTCTTCGTCTCATAAGAAAGCACATGACCTGAGAGGGTGTCCAAAGCTGTTCCTGCGAGAAGTGGGAATGAAAGCCAGGCTCTAATATAACAGCTTTAATTTCCATCCATTAATTACAGACACAAACAACATTACAGTCACCGCTTTACAGTTTGCAAACTTGAATGTGAAGCAGACCGAGCGTGTCGCTTCCCTTTATCCTGTGCTCACCCTGTCCCATTACTGTTTCCCTGCAGAAATACCTCATCGAGCTGGCGTACGGCACAGCCCGGGAGTTTGTGCTGGAGGGGAAGCACCAGGAAGCCCTCCCCGCGGCCCTGCACGCGCTGCGCTTCAGCACCGAGGTGCACGGCTCCCATTCCCTGCAACTGGTGCCCGCTTATCTCCTCTTGGCCGAGGCCTCCACTGGTGAGTATTGTCTAAATAGAAACGCTGGCAGGGGCAAGACCTCCCCTGGGTCAGGTTTCTGGTTTCCTTTTACCACCAGGGAAGGACCAGCTCTGCCTTTCAGCGTTGTGCTGCCTCTCTGCCCTGCCCTCAAGGGCATTTCAGAGAGGTTTGAGAAGTCACACACACACACACACACACACACACACACACTCCCCCCCCACCACACACACACCCCATTCCTCCTCCTCCTCCCCCTTACCTTACAGGCCTGGTAGCTCTCGAAAGCGCGTAGGGCGCTCTCCGTGAGCTTGACGTGGAAGACGGAGACGCGGG